ATATATATAACTATTTTTATAGTCGGTTTGGTTCGTTTATTTTCGATCTTTTTTATTAAAACCAAAACCAAACCAAAACCTAAAAGTATCAATTTTTTTGGTCGGTTTGGCTCAATTTTCGGTTGATTTTTCGGGTTTTTATGAACACCACCCCTTAGACGTAAGCAAAGGTACAAAATATAGAGGAGGACAAAACAATGCTGTTTTTAAAGTTGCATAGAACAATATTACCGCAGCTCGGGATTACATCAAATTCGGAAAAAGTTTACTTAATACTCAAACGCGCGCTATACTTGGACATTTGCTAATTATTGTAAGTTCTTTGATAATAACCACCAATATTGTGGTGTGATGGATTTATAAGATCCTTCCATTAACTAGATGTCTCAAGTTCAACTCATAGGAATGGAAAAATCCCGATAGGGAACACTTCTCCTTAATAGATCTAACACGAAGCGAATGTAAATTAATCAGAGACCCCAAAGCGGACACCAAACACCGAGTGAAAAACAAAAAAATAAATATATTTTGATGATACAGGTTTAAGTGAAGAAACAGTAACTGAATGAAAGTTGACAATATTGTGTAAATCCAGGAAACTAGAAGGCAAGGTAGCAGTGATCACTGGGGCAGCAAGTGGCATAGGGAAAGAAACGGCAGCCAAATTCATTAATCATGGAGCCAAAGTAGTCATCGTCGATATACAGAGGCAGCTCGGCCAAGAAACCGCAAGTGAGCTCGGACCAAACGCCACATTTGTGCCATGCGACGTAACAAAAGAATCTGAGATTTCCGACGTAGTGGACTATGCCGTTTCCCGACATGGACAGCTCGACATAATGTACAATAATGCAGGTAAAAGAGAATTCAATGTATGTAACAGTGAATGCATGTGCACTATCGTGTCCTTAATAATCAAACCACAATTAAGAAGTGCACCTGCTATATTTAAATTCTGAATCTGTCTATGACTATGTAGGGATAGCTTGTCGAACTTCGCCAAGCATAGTTGACCTTGACCTTGAACGATTCGACCGTGTCATGGCCATCAACGTACGAGGCGTAGTGGCAGGAATCAAACACGCTGCTCGTGTGATGATCCCGCAGGGTAGCGGTTGCATTCTGTGCACAGCTAGTGTCACCGGGGTGATCGGAGGACTCGCGCAACCTACTTACTCAACGTCCAAATCAAGCGTGATAGGAATTGTGAAGTCTGTGACAGCGCAGCTGTGCAAGCAGGGAATAAGAATCAATTGCATATCTCCATTTGCTATTCCAACACCCTTTTCATTGGACGAGATGAAACATTACTTCCCAGGGGTGGAACCTCAGGACCTTGCTAAAATCTTACACAGTGCTAGTGAGCTCAAAGGAGCATATTGTGAGCCCATTGATGTAGCCAATGCTGCTCTTTTCTTGGCTAGTGAAGATGCTAAGTTTATTAGTGGCCACAACTTGGTGGTAGATGGTGGTTTCACCTCGTTTAAAAGTTTAAACTTAGCAGATCAAGTGCAGTAACGTTCCATATATTGATATGGCATTTGATTCTTTTCTAGAGTTTTTTTGTTAAATCACATGCATAGCCTCAGGGTGCACAAACTAGTTTGGGCTGAATATAGCTGAATATAGGCAAATTAACCTTTAATGTTCTATTGCTTATGGACTACCTTTATGTGATAAAGGCGACGGTTGGAGGGCGGTCATCCATAGGGATCGATTCCCCCCTCAATGCCTTCTGGGTTGAGCCTGTCGCACAGGGCTTGCCTAGTGCGGTTTACATCCCCTATGTGGTTTGCAGGCTATTACACAGGGGGATTTACCCAGTGCGCACAAAGTGCTCACCACAGAGTGCTCACCCGAAGGGCAGAGGCTGTGCCAGAGGTTGTAGCGGCTGCGGGTTTCCCCTCTTACCAACAAAAAAAAAAGGCGAAGCAGGCCATCTTTCCCGGACGTTACTTTCAAACTATTCAAACTATAACAAGATATTTACAATATGTAATCTATCATACTATCTGATTTTTAGAAAGTAAAAGAAAAACCAATCTCACAATATTTTGATGCATCTTTTTTCCCATGTAAATCAATTCGCAACTGGAAGCTGAAGGAGCATCCATATCGAATAAGAAGAGTTTCAGAGACCTCTTCTATTGGCTGGCAAACAAGATCCTGGGCTTAGCACTGTCTGATTTCAGCAAGAAACTATACCTTTCTTCTAAAAGAATCAAAATTGCTCATATACAATCCTCCGCATAAAGTCTTCTGGTGCTGCAAAAAAACAGGAGTTGAAAATTTTACGCGAATGAAGCCATTGCTTTCTAAGAGAACGTTGCTTTAAGACATACAGTTTGCTTCATAGTTCAGCTTTTCCCGTCTTACTTTCCTATTCTTTGGTGATAAAGCTATTGGACTACATCAGGTCTTTTTTAGGGAATTAAAGCAAACTAATCGGCAATAAGGAGTCCCTATTGACTTAAGAGTCACTCAAGTTCAGCTTAGCCAAATTTTGCTATAAGCCCCACTACTTACTGCATATCGAACTTCAGTTATGTTCACTGCTTAGCGATATGGCCCCAATCTTTAGGATTTATGGAGCAAGAAAAGGCTCTTTGTTATTGTGAAATTATATGATGGAGGAGAGAATAGATACCTGATCCACTGGTGAACAACTTAAACTGCCCAATTGCCTGCCTGACGAACATCTCAACCCCACCCACCACTGCAGCTCCAACCTCTGTAGCCTCCTGCAATAGCCGTGTGTTTCTAGGTGTGTAAACTGCATCAAATACTAGCTCATATGATCTCAAGGCCTCCTGAAACAGCAGAAAGGATGCAGAAAATGTTAGATGTCAGCATCTCTCATGCAAACAGAGAGGGTCACTTTTGTTAAAAATACCGCGGTGCAAGAAAGACAACCTTGGAAATAGGAGTTTGATCTGTCCTTGGCTGCATGCCTACTGCAGAAGCATTTGCAAGAATCATTCCCTTCTCAGGGCAGAAATCGTTTAGTTGTTCATATGGCAAGGCTTCACCAGATACTGCTGCGGCCAGAGCTTTTGCTCTCTCTTTTGAAAAGAAAAAGGATGTGATAAGTGAAAGGAAGGCATAAATGAATGAAGATCCAAAGACAACCATAATTCTTAAGGAGATAGGAGGTAATACCGTATTTGCGGTTAAATATTACAACCCTTGCCCCCCTGCTTTTGACACCAAAAGCAATAGCTCTCCCAGCACCACCTGCTCCAACTACTACGAACAATTTTCCAGCAATTGGAGAAACATTTGATGCATGGCCATTGGTCTTTTGTCTCTCTGTTTACACACAAAAATTGGAACTCCTTATGTAATTGGATTCAGAAGTGCTTGAAATGGTTTCCTAAGAAGTTTCTACCTTTTCTTTTGGGAGGGCTACAGACCCAGGAGGGGGAAAGGAATAAGAAAACGAAAAACAGTGGTATTGTCATTGTCCAGTTTGTAAGATTATCTGGATTTCGGGAAAATCTTTTGTCTTGCAAAGTGACTACAGAATTAGACCACTAAACTACATTGATTAAGTTTTTTTGCTCGTACCTTTCTACTAAAAATACTAGATTTTTTTTAAAATTCTGATAAAGATCAAATCAGTACCTCTAAGTGCATCCTCAATTGCTGTCACACAAGCCTCACAATCTGTATTGTAACCAATGAGCTTGCCATCAGAAGGTCTCCTTATAATTGTGTTAACAGCTCCTATAGACTGATTTCCAAAGCATGATGCAATTTAGAAAGCTTTATTAATAAGAGAATGTAGCCACAAAATAATCTGATATGGCTACACAAAAAACAACTGTATAAAATTGCCAAGTCCAAACTTTCAAAATACTGATCTAATCTATAGAACAAAATGTTTGTCCATGCAAAGACAAACATCTGGAAATCAGTGTGTGTGGATGCTGTAACACCTATGCGATCAGTGTAGTAGTGCTATTTATGCTGCCTTCAGCACTTAACCGTAATGGACTAAGGCAATCATACATAGCTCATTTTGGAAAAAGAGAAAACCTCAATTATACTATGCCTAATATGATAAGGTAGTTCAAGCACACCCAATATGGTCAGCTTTTGTTTCCTATAAGTATATGCACGCCTCTTGTACACGTATAAAACAGAGTGATGTTTATAAGTATTCATTATATAAGAACTAGTGAAGCTGAACCAGCTTCAGCAAAGACATTTTGAAAAGATTGTGCATTTTGTGGTTCTTCAACCCCCAAAAATCAAAATCAAATTATGCAACACACAGCAAACCCCAAGATTAAGCTTGGTTTAGTGTACCATGAAGGTGTGAACATTAGACTTGTTTATAACCGGATTGAGCTGCTTTGATGTTTTTCCAGAATAAAATTGAACAGCTTGATATTTGATTTAAACAGAAAAAGCAAAGACAGAATACACAAAAGACAGAGACATCTAAAAGAGCATAGTTTTATGCTCATGCACCCACAGAAAGAAGAATTTAAGGCAGAAACAAACGTGGTATGGTCATCATCTTGGAACTAATCAGACCTTAGCAAGTGGATCTACTTCATCACAGCACCGTACTGCTGCTTCCTTATGTGGGAGTCCAACACTACACATTCCATCAAAAGGAAGAATATCATGCATTAGATATTTTTTCTACATGAAGACAATTTTAGGAAAATGAAACATATAGGAAAGCAAAACACTGCAGGGTACATATCTTCACGTCCCAAATGTTTAATGCAAGTGAAAATTTCAAACTAGTAAGATGAGTGTTGCTTATATAAGCTTAATGAGAGAAAACATATGTCACAAATACATTGATCCCTTGTTGAGCACTGATGTTTGTTGAAATCCCTACAGATGCTGCACCCTGTGGTCTCATTCAAACATACAACATACTAAATTGAAGCATAACCAAATCCTCAACGAAGGATACAGTGCAATAGGCATGAACATTATGTACATATGGCACACATTTACGCTTGACGAGTAGGAATCTTTAGACATTCCTAATACAATCTGGCAATTATTCATCATTATGCTGCACAGAACAATTTTAGCTTGTATATAAGGAGCATACCTGAAACCAGCATAGTCATTGCATGAGAAGACCCGAAAAAATTCCTTGATATTATCAACTAGTAGAGGCACATATATTCCATTGTATCCTGTATGTCTAAAGGCAGGGTTGTGCAGAAGAGGGCCCTTGCTATGGCCAACAGGATTTGAGATTACGCCAAAAACTCTAGTATCTGGGTTCACATATTCCAGTTTATAAACGTCTTTAATGCTAGTCAAAGCTGGTAAGCCAGGGGTGGAGTTTCCTCCTAAAGATCCACAAACAAAGAAAGCACCATATTTTGGACCCAATAGTTGGCTTATAAGACCTCTATCTCCTGCTGCCCTGGCAATTAGCGGTACCTGCACAGAGACCTTATAATGAGGCAAATAGCTTAAAGTACCACATGCTCAGTTTAAGAAAGAGAACCTCAACAAACTTATCATTACTACTCACAAGGAAACTAAATTAAAGATTTTATCTACCACCTTATAAGCCCAAGAGATGGCTGTAGTTACAATTAAGAGGCCATATACATGGAAGAATATGAGAGTATTTTCTAATGAACACTTCACCGCAGAAAAAACTTAGTATAACAATCGCAGTTTGTATTAGAAAGATTTTAAAGCAGACCCCTTTTTTTCTCTTCTTGTCAGTAAGTTGAATTGAGCAAGTATTCCATCAGAGGGAATGCAATGTAGTTTCTACGGGTTCAAGAGAACCCGGTATCTTTTACACGGATGATAACTATATATGTGAATGATCACTAAAATTGCAACAAATTCAGTAGTGAGAATATAAATACTGAACACCTCAAAGTTTAATCCTAGACCCACCTTTGCATATTTTTATTTTGTTTTGATAAGGTAAAGGTTTGACCCACCTTTGCATATTAATAGGTGTAAAGCCTAAAAGCAAGTTGAGGGTATGTTTTTGCAAGGAAAAAGTGCAAGTTAAAGCAAGAAAAGAAATACCTGACAATGTGTAAGCATATGGAAAACTGGTGCAACATCTGTAATATAAGCTACATCAATCACTAATTTGATGATATCTGCTCCTGTTGACTGCAGGTTTGTAATTAAATTACAAAGTCTCTCTTTTGTAGGATTTCCACCATTCACATGACTGGAGGCAATCATTTTGCAGTTTGATCGTTTGGTCATTAATTCACAGATGACCTCATCACAAGCAACCTGTAAATTTGCAAACAGTTTAATCTCTATGTACTGATTATAATAAACCTTTTGTCATAGACTGATAGCTTAAATTATACTGACAGTGTAGCGATGCGTATAACTTATATCCGAAATTATAATAGAGGAAACTTGTATAAACATAAAAAAGGGGCTTTAAGGGTGTACACATTGTACTATGATTTACTCTCTTAAGCAAAATTCTTTTTTGAGTATTTTAATTTATTTAGCTTCAATAAAACTGTATCAATTACAGAGTAATTTGAGAAAACCAGTTGGACTGACCTGGCGATCAACTTCTACGAACTCAACGTCCAATTCAACAGCCAAATTCAGAACTTGCACGCATGTTTTCTTCCAGTTTTCTCTGCAAGAATATCTCAGCGAATTCGGCCTGAGACAACAAACCCCAAATTCTCAATTAGCAAGATCTTTTGTAAAAATTCAAGCTTTCGGTCATTTGGCTTCACTTTTTGCAGATTGGATCACTAAACCGAAAAGAACATTTTTCAGTAATTGGAGTAAAATGCCAAACCCTAAATTCCCAATCAGCAAGATCTTCGCAAAGATTCAAGCTTTTTGCCATTTGGCTTCATTTTCATGTAGATTGGATCATATAATCAAACATAAAACATTCTCAGTAATTATATCAGCCACTAACAATAACAAGCTAGTTGTGCTAATAGCTAAAAACCTTCTTTCTCTGCCTTTCTGTTTTTCACTTTACCTTTTAATTACTGTACCTAAAATCACAATCTCTAAACAACTTACAAGTTACAACATAAACATGTAAAATTTTTGGTATAGGGTTTTTAGAACATAATCGTAGCAGCTTTTTGTTGACAAATTGTCTTATCCGGCTTAAAATATAATCTCGTTTTGTCAAAACAAGGAGCAGTTTAATTCTAATTGAAATTATTATCCGACAATTATGCTCTCGAACAACAAAAAACGTGAGCACAAACCATAATCTGAAATGGCCGTTTACCCAAAAGTGAACTTTTTAGTCTAAGGGTTGAACAAGCACGTGATTTTCTGATACACAAGAACCACTTGTGTATGAGTGTTATATCATGAAGAGGAGGCTACTTAATGTAAATATTACTCATCCGTTTCAATTTATACACATGATTATCCGGAGTTAAATTCTGGACAAGTGAATTAATTTGATGAAAATGAAACAACAGAAATAGTGGTCACGGGAGCAGAGCTTCCGGGTACAACACAATGAAATCAAAAAGTAAGGAGATAATTTGTAATTTTGTATAAAGCTTTGAATAGATTATAGCATAAGTTTGCCAGAAAATTTCTGTACAATGATAGTAGAGCTCATTATTTATAGCTATACTTAAAGAACAACATCCTAGGGTCAAGCCCCTCTTTATTGTCAATTATGAGGGCCATTGAAGAATGTGTAACGACGGGCATGAATGTCATATTCTTTTGTAACGGGCAATATACTAAATGTTGTAGGATATTCTTCATTAAATGCTACCGGGTGGCAGACATTTATTTCATCTTTATGAGTATTATTATCTCCGATAACAGACGAAATGGTTGCCTTCGGTTTCAGCCATCCTCTATCTTTCACTCCACGTGTTACTTTCTCATTAAATATAGCATATATTACCCCATACAATAGTTTGATTGGAACAATATTTTTAAGAATTTGGAGTCTTAAACATAACATAATATTTGTGTAGTTATAAAACTTTATAACCTGTGATATGAAAATATAACATAGCATTTGTGTAGCTATAAAAACTCATGTTTAAGTTAAATCATTTTAAATTTAAAAAGTTAATATTATTTTGAAACGAACTAAAGAAAACATTGTTACCATAAACTCCTAGTTGAAGTTAAAAAAGAAGCTATATTAGGTGTAGTGGTATGAAATATGAATATTGAATAGTATGTTGAGGAACGAGTGATTCAACCGACAAAAGAGGGTAGAAGTAAAATGAACAATTCCAAAAAATCATAACGAATTAATAAATGTGGGCGGGCCTCGAATTGGGCAAAATGCAACCCTTAACCTTCCCTATCATGCGGACCCCTTAAGAGCCGTGGGCAACGCAGGGGCTGCCGTGACCATTCAAGAATGCAAAGTAATGGTAGCTGCTCAACTTCTTTATACTTAACATTAATTTTAAATTCATTTTTCATAAATAATAAAAACATGTGTAATTGTATTTCATGCATTACACTTACTAACTTAATATCTTGAATCAATCTCTATGACAAAAATAACAATAACATAATAACTTCGGTATAATTCTATAAGTAAGGATATGGGGAGGACAAAATATACGAATAATTTAACCCTATCTAACGAGAATATAGAAGTTATTTCCGATAGACCAATCTCCGGGATGACTATCAGCTAAAATCCTTCTTTCTCCAATTTCTAATAGTAGTAGTTGCTCTTCCTTTTACGTACAGAAAGAAAAGAGTAAGCATAGTAATCATTCACTGACTCAAAATCTTGAAACTACTATCACTTGGTCACTACCTAAACCTCTTCCAATTAGGGGTCGTTTGGTATGAGGTATAAGTAGATATAGTATTGGTATAAAATTTTAATACCGCCTTAATACTTTATTTGGTTAGCAAACATGGTATAAGTTATCTCGGGATTAAAATTAGTACCGGGATAACTTATACCTTGTAGGGATGGAGTAATTAGTGCCGGGATAACTTATACCTTCTTAGAAATTATGCAATTGTCATTTTTAATACAACATACCAAATAGTGGATAAAAAACAATATCATGATAACTAATTCCATCATAATTTATCCCAGCATAAGCAATATCCAAACCAAACGACACCTTAGTGTATCTAATAATTGCTTTACCTTTTTAGAGATTTTGCAATAGTGTCAAGTTATACCTTAAAAATTGTGATGTGAATTGTGATATACTCTGGTCTAAGTAAAAAGAGAATCTCTCTTATTAGAGGATTTAGAGCAAGATGTTGACAGAAGTTACCAAATTGATGTAAACATTCTTAAATCAATTGGTAAGTGGGGAAAATCTTGGTTGGTCACTACCACGAGCCCCACATGCTTCACCTACCCACCTCACTCCCTACTTTTACAGTTTCACGTGCGGTGGAGAATTTAAAAATAGAAACTCATTACTTACTCTAGTTTGTAGGGGGTTGAAAATATGAGCAAAAAAACAAGAAATAGATATGAAAATCCAGAGAAGCAAACAAAAGAAAGTGTGTTGGACATTCACCTAACACTCTCCTCCTCACAATATCACACATCTCATGTCCTCTTTTCCTTCTTCTTAGCTCATTAATTAAAAATGGTAACCAAACCCTCAAAGACTTGAGCTACCAAGTAGCATTTGAGTATCCTAGGGTTAGAGAAACGGTCGCACCCTAATTGATGTGATGTACACAGCCTAATCTAATGCAATCATTAGTGGCTGCTTTTACGGCTCGAACCGGCGAACTATAAGTCGCACGGAAACAACTTTACTATTGCTCCAAGGCTCTCACCCACCAAGTAGCATTTGAGTACTTGAGAAAAACAGAAGAGGACTTGAAAGCAGAGTCGGATGGGGTGCGGTGAACTTATTGCTTTCAGCTCGAGCTATGCATACATACGTTAAATTATAAGATCACAATCTTTCTGAATCTACTGACACTATATTAAGAAAGGGAGAATATATCTCACCTGAAGGAAACGATGGAGGGTAAAGTCCTCTGTTTGAGGAGGTGTTCAACTTCTGAAATGTGGGAGAAAGTCAAAGAGTCAATACAAAGCTCCACGAGATCTGCTCCTTCTTCTTTTGCTTTCTGCATACAGGCTGCCATTTCCTCCAAGCTTTCACATTCTAATGTTGTGTACACCAACAGGTCTTGCTTGAAACCCATGATCCACAATTACAAAGATAGATGGCTCGGAGCAAATGTTTTATGCAAAAGTTATAATCCTCTGCTTCTAAAAAAACTCTGTTTTTGGTTAATTCTGGTTGAAAGGGGAAATGTTATGTTGATAGAGAGGGAAAAGAGATGTGCGGTCTGTTATCAAATTTTGTTATACTACTTGGCTGCAGATACTCCGCAAGTCTTCGCTTATATAAATAAAACCTATGTAGTGACATATCAAGTGGAGTACCTTACCGCCGCCAAAGGATGTGGTGCAGTGGATGTGACTGCTCTTCCTTAACCAGAGGTCTCGAGTTCGAGCATAGGGAGCGCTTCCTCCCGAATGGGGCCCTACGGGATGCGAATCCGGATATAGTCAGGCTCCAATGCGAATACCGGACACCGAGTGAGAAACCCAAAAAAAAAAGAAGTGGAGTATTGTCACGACCCCAAACCCGGTCGTGATGGCGCCTAACACTAATGCTAGGCAAGCCCGACCAATTAAACACTCTCAACCCAAATACGCAAACTGTTAACCAATAATATCATTAAAATAGTAAGTATCAAGTTCCAAATCCGGAATTTAGATAAAGTAGTACGAAAAATAATAACGAATATATCAAACATTTCCCCAATAGATCCAGAATTCACATCCGAGCCTTCTAACTAATAAGTCAACGTCCGGTTGACCTTTCCAACTTAAGCCTTCCTTAAAGAGACTAAGTGTCTCACTTCCTACCCAAACCAATTCAATTCAAGTGTTTAAACTGTTTAAATTTCTTTATTGCTGTGATCCTTTGTGTTAGAACATACAATATTTTCAATACCTCAACGTATTTATATATGTATGTATATATATATATATATATATATATATATATATATATATATATATATATATATATATATATATATATATTCCAATACTTTAAACTTCAATAATTGTTATAGCCGTAATTCAATTAGTTTCTCAATTATATCCCTTTAAACCGTCTAAGGTTGTACTTTTCATAAAAAGGAATTTCTACTAAGTTTAAGTTATTAACTCCCCTGTTAAATTTAATAATTCTTCTGATGTTGTATTTTTAATCGAAAGGGGTACTTTCTTACTCGAATGATTTCTAATGACAACTTCATCTTTTCTCGTCGATTTCCAAATTTATTTAGAAATTGTAATTTAATTTATATTATGTAAATAGGACTTCTCGAACATCTTAAGTGCATTTGTAAGAATATTTTGTATTGTATATCATGTGGATTGTGTTGCTAAGTGTGAGATGGAAAGTATGTGGGNCGGAAAATTCAGAAGTTGAGATTATTATATGAGAAATCGAGGATTGAGATGGTCGGGATTGTGTATTAGACATGATGCGATTGATTGAGTGGGCGTTTCCTTCGTTAATTGAATACACTCTTACTCGTCTCTGTTCCTGTTATGTCAGTGTTGATTTACTTGGTTATCGTTTGTTACTACTCGCATTCTCCTTTATTGTTCTTACTGTTGTATTTTGATTTCTTTCCGTTGTTGATATTACCTCGTTATCTTTATCGCGATATTTTACTATCATATCCTGTTCATTTCATTTGACCAGTGGGTGTCTTGACTGTTCCTCGTCACTACCCCACCGAGGTTAGTCTTGATACTTACTGGGCACCGCCGTGGTGTGCTCATACTACACTTCTGTACATTTTTGTGTACAGATCCAGGTATTGATCGATAGTAGCTATGCGAGTTGTCGCGGTGGAGACTCACGGTAACCTGTTGCTGCGTTCGCAGGCCTCGGAGTCACCTTCGTTTGTATTTACATTCCATTGATTCCTTCTCGTTCTGGAACAGTGTTGTATATTTTGTATAATTACTCTTAGAAAGGCTTATGACTTGTACCACCGATTTTGGGAATTGCGATTTATTGAGAGTTATTTATTTTGAAGTTAGTAAATATTAATGTTATTTCTGCAAATGTTAGGCTTACCTAGTTTAGAGACTAGGTGCCATCACGACCCCTTAGGAGGGATTTTGGGTCGTGACAAGTACCTTACAAAAAGAAATCTCAGTAAAGGTACTTGTATATAACACATACTAATAATGTAAGAGTTACATGTAACTTTAATTATATAATCATGTCATATAGTACTAACTTAAAACATTTTCTATATATACTTATATAGGTGTAGGTCAATATTATTTTTTCTACTGGTACCACCTATATACCTAAAAAAACGTGTCACGTCAGCAATAATGTAATGAGGAAGGCAATAACATCGTTCGCTGGAAATATATTAATTGTCCATTTTTGACTTTGTGCTCTTTTTATGAAATATAAATAAAATATGTATTTTATAATTTTACCTATAAGAAAAGTAGCATTTCAACAAATATTGTGAAATAATTTGAAAAATGAGTAATTAATGACAAGGGTAAAATAAGAAAATATTTATATATTTCTCTTGATTTGCTAAAATGAACAAGTAAAAGTGAAAACACATTTTTAGTATGGTAGTAAAAATCCAAAATACATAGAAAGACGAGTAGTTGGAGGGGAGAAAAAGGAATTTTTTTTTTTCATTATGATTTTGTAGTATTAAAACTATTTGTTTTTTTGGGTCAACAAAGATGCATACTTCATATATTAAGGATCAATACAAGGAGCATTGTTTGGTATAGTGTTACAAAAATGTTGGGGTTCACTGATACCAAATTGTACTTGACTGCTAGAGTTACTATTACAAGAGTTGGACGACATGTTTAAACAAAAAGAGGGGTGGTCCAACTTCATGGCAGCAGTTGTTATGCGCTTGTGAAGTGTTTCCCGTTGGTCGTCCATGTTCCAAAACTTTAGTAGTGGGGGCATGGTGAGGTAGGGTTGCTCCTAGGGGTGGTCATAAAAACCCGAAAAACTGAATTAAACCGAAAACCAAACCAAATCGACCAAAAAAACCGATACTTTTTGGTTTGGTTTTGGTTTTGAATTTTAAAAACCGATCAAATTTAGTTTGGTTTTGGTTTTAATTAGAAAAAACCGAAACCGACTATAGGAGTAGCTATTTCTAAAATTTCATTACACCTATATATATGTATATTTTTATACAAGTTTCAAATTTTTTATGGTAAATGTTAATGGTTTGCACTTTTAGTATAGTTCTTTACCTTTACATTCTAATTTGATTGGTAGTTTTCTTTTGTAAAGTATAAGAATCCATTTCGTATTAAAAATAATATATTTTTAATTGAGTCCTTAAACAATTCATCACTATTTGATTCAATAATAGATTTCATAAAGGGCAATTGATTTGATAGTGTTACGTTGAAAATGTGGTCGCCGGAATATGTATTTGGTAGTGTATGTCTTATATTTAAGAAAAAACCGACAAATAACCGAAAACCCGACAAAACCCGACATAAATCGAATCGAGAAAAAACCGACTTAATTGGTTTGGTTTGGTTCTAATATTTGAAAAACCGACTTACTTGGTTTGATTTCTTTTTAGGGAAAAACCGATCCAAACCGAACTATTAACATCCCTAGTTGCCCCGTACTTGAGCATTCAGTTATTCCTTACTTTCAAACTAGTTCTATTCACTTTGTATCTACGTATATATTTTACTTTATAGTGACCATTCAGTATGTAAAGAATTCGTCATAGTTAGATTATTTTCACGATGATAATCAAACTATTGCAATCTTTCTCCTTTCTACGAGTTTGAATAGGTCATGTGCTGCAAAATCTCATAAATGGAGATTGATTATAAAAAATTGATGGTAATTTAAGCAGTAAGTTGCTCCTCACATCTATGATTATCTTTTATTTGCTAATGTGCCTAAAGGTAATTTTTCGTGCGTTACTAATAATGTGCTAAAACTATTACATCAGAAAATAGCTACGTTTGAGCAATTGAATGCGTCTACTTGTCATTTTCTTTCTTTTAAAAAGGGATCCCAAGTTTAAGGAATGTGAAAAGCAAAAAAGGAAAAAGACATCAAGAATATATCTATGATTCAACTGATGAGAATAACACTATTGAACGTGGGAACAAAAGGGCCACATTTTTATTGTCATGTCACAATTATTTGGCATAAAAGACAAGGGAAAATATAAATTAATGGAATCATCTAGCACTAGAATCTTTTAGTAAATTATATAGTTCTGTGATCAATAATTTAACAACGTTCACACTCTCCAGCAATGTTGGTTTTTGTCCATAAATTTTTGTTTGTTTGTTTTTTAATTTTTAAAGAATAAATGTATTTGTCCATGAAATTTTGCAAGTTTTTGAAAAAAATTCGAAAATGAGTTTTTCAAAAATAAAAGGAACACATTTCTGACCCACAAACTACAATATTTTTTCAAGTGAAATACATTTCCAAACATAATTTAAATTCCAAATATCATTTTTCAACTTAACTCTAAATAATACGGAATACTTTTTTTTCAAAAATTATAATTTTTATGTCCAAACACCAACTTAAGATTCTGCAAGATTCTCGTCTTAGATTTGCCAATCAAGTCAGCACTTTTAAAGAACCCAACTTCCAAGTTAATCAAAGAAAAAGATATAGAATTTTTGTTGAAAAGTTGGAGATGTAGCTCCCGTTTGGCCATAGATTTTGGCTTTATTTGTTAAAAAAAATTGAAAACATTATTTGTTTGTAAAATATGATCATGTTTTGGAGAAAAAAATTCAAAATTTTCAAGTTCCCAAAAATTAGTTAGGACAGTTTTTTGGTAAAATTTTTTCTTCCACTCACAAAACTTCAATTTTTCTTCAAATAAAATGCATAACTTCAAAAACTCTTTTTCAAGTTTTAGTCAAATCTATATCCAAACACTAGCTAAAACTCAAGTTATCGAAATAAATGCTCTTAAACGTATCTGTCACTAGTTAACGATATAACAATAGAAGTTTAAGTAATTTTTTTTTTAAATTTATAATCTCTCTTATAATATAAGATGGAAATAATAAAGCAACTTGAAATTCAAATTATAAGATGATGACATGAGTTGAACTTAAATGAAAAAATAAGGATACATATAATCGATCCCAACAAAGATGTTGGAATGGAGACATGGTAATTGCTGTTATTTCTGATTCAAATTAGGGGTGCACAAACCGAACCGGTAAACCGCACCAAACCGAAAAGTCAAACCAAACCGATTAAAAAACCCGACTAGGTTTGGTTTGATTGGTTTGGTATTGAGTAA